GAACCGGTGCACCCCGAACGCCGGAGCGACAGTAAGGGACACGATCACTTCACCAAGGTCATGAAGCGGCTGTCACCGATCGCCGCTCTCTTTTTATTTATGTGCGACGTATATCTCTGCCTTGTCATAATATTGCTCCGATGGCTGCGTCGCATTTGCAACGGCGCTTACGGCAGTGCAAGAAGCCCATGCAAGATGCTAACTCAAGCGAATTGGCAGGTATAAAACCCCACATAGCTATATAAAGCCCTTCTCTCTGACTTATTTATATATTTCCTCTCTCTCTCTCTCCCTCTCTCTCTCTCTCTCTCTCTCTCTCTCTCTCTCTCTCTCTCTCTCTCTCTCTCTCTCTCTCTCTCTCTCTCTCTCTTCCTTCCATCTCTCCATCCTCTAGTTTTCCTCCACCCTTACTACTTTTTTCACGTAGCGCGAAAGGTTTAACATGCTCTGGAACAGTTTCAAGTTTTAAGCTGCTGGGGAGCGTCCTCCCCCACCGCGACTCGCGGTACTGTCCATCGCGGCCTTCCTGCCCGTAACAACAACGCGCACAGGTGAACATTGCGACCGTCGCTGTCACCTCGCGCTGAGGTTTTAGAGCACCAGGCGTTTCTCAATAGGCCTCATAATAGCCGTCCTTCATGTAGCTGCCCCAGCGCGATGGAGCTCGGATGCCGGCCGAGGTACATGGGACGGTAAGCTGCCCCCGGACTCGCACCGGCTCTCCTCGCTGGCCGTCGGTCGGTCTGGCTCCGCTGTCGGAGAGGTCAGGCGCAGGGGAGATCACCTGGCTTGCATCACTTATCACGCGCGCCGCTTATGGACTTCCTCGCCGAATTTGATGGAGCCGATTTCACGTCACTCGGTGGCTAATGCGGCATCGAAGTGGAACGCGCAGTGGGCGTTGAATTGAACAACTATAAATGGGCTTTCTGCTCAAAACGCATTGGTGAGGTACGGTGAGAGGATGATAGATGGAAGTGGTGGGAGTCCCTTACTTCTTGGGATTGGGTGGGCTACGGGTATTTTAAATTCATACCAAAATGCATGAGAATGTAACAATGCATGAAATTGTGTATCCCTAATAAATGTATTAATATTAGTACGTAACAGTTGTCTATACCAATGAATGGACATAACTAGCTTATGTCTTGCCATTGTGGGCCATGCTGGAGCACGATGCGAGTGAGTGAGTAAGTTAGCACTTACTGTCCGTTCCTCAATAGTAATCGCGTGCCATCAGTGAAGGATTTGCCCATTACTTACATGACATATTTATTAAATGCATTTGTTGATGCTCAAAACGCGAATTTGAAATTACCTGGCTGAATTACTACTTCAAATTATGGTTTTTAGCTGCCATCGTTGCTTTAACCCAGCATTGCCCGGTGGTCAAATTAAAAAACAAATCAGTAGCTATCAATTGATGAGTTCTGCGCCTTGCGCCCCCCCAAAAAACACTATGAGACTAAAGTGCATCAAGCGTGAGTGACGTAAGAGTGTCGCCATGTTTCTCAATTTTTTTTCTCTCACAAAAGCGCATAGCCGAAGACAAATCGACACACAATCCGAGCGAAAAACATTTTTACATCCATAAACGGGAAATGTAAGCCAATTGGTTCATTCTTCATATGCACTGTCGTTGTGCTGTTTCAATATTGCACATTACGGTGTTGGCATTTATATAACAAAAAATAGTTATAAAAAGTACACTCAGCATTTTCCTGTTGTCTCAGACCTACAACTTTGTAAACATGGAAATGGTGCCCTCGATACATGAAGGATGCCTGTACCAAGTTTCAAGCAATTGTCTGAAACATTGACTAAGTTATGGCTTGGGATGCATCACAGCGCATGCTGCTCGTGTCCAGGTGAGCCCGACCCGCGGCGGTGGGCGGCGGGGCACAGGTTCACCGCAGCGGCGCGGTATATAGATATAGTTACCCGTAGATACTAAAATTCAGACCCACAACTGGTTAGAAGGTATTGATTCGGACTCAGAAGACCCTTATCTACATCACGAGGCGCACTTTCTGGATCTTAAAGCTACGTTTATGCATAAGGTAGCCTATGCTCCAGATAAGTAGGCCCAAATTTTATGTTGGGGAAACCCCGTTTCTTCCTCGAGAGGTCCCGTTACGAATAAGGAGGCCCCTGTTCTGGTTTAGGACATTTCATGCATCGGAGGATCACGGTTCCGGATCATGTTTTGGGATAAGGAGGTCCCTTAGCCACGTTTCGAGGCTCCCTTCATGAATCGGAAGCATTCCGTTCTGGATTAGGAGGCCCCGCTGTGGATCAGGAGGCCCTTTTGTGGAAAAGTTGTCCCTGTTTTAGCATAGTTATACCCTTTGCTGAATATTCAGAACGCCTCCATTCTTGATTTGTCAATTTTCAACTTTTATTTACTTGGGTAGGATACATTTCATATCTTGATAAGAGGGCACGTGAGGGCCTTGTTGCCCGTCCCCCTGGAATATGGCACTGCAGAGGAGCCATACTGTGATGAGGCCCCATTTTCCAGGAAGCCCCTATGGAAACTCCCGCGCCCTCGACTCAACATCTGTGGCGCCGCCCCTGCTGGTCGGTAGTCGGCTGTCACAGCAGCATGGCCGCATGATGCAGAACTGATGTGAATCTAGTGTAACTACGGCACTGCGGCAGAGTGCAGCAGTGCAGGCTTTTGACGGTGAGACGGGTTGCTGGAATTTAAATGAGTAATTGGGCTTTACAACTTGGTAATGTGATTCGGCCCGGCTGACTGCAACTCCAGCAAGCCGTAATCAATCACCCACTTTCCTGCAAGTGTGCTTGCACTCATGTCACTGAAGAGTTGGCCCAGTTCAGGCTCTGAAAAGTGGGGGTGTAAGTGCGCCACCACATTAATGTCATCGAGGACCTTGGCGCCGTTAGCGTGAATGGCTTGATGGATGACACGAGCTAGAATGTGAAATGCTTATTGGAGAGTTGATTTGCTGGAGCTGCGGGGACCAGTAGTTTTCCAGGGCCTATGCAAAAATGAGTTAATTTCAACGAACAGTGACGTAACAAGCGTTACACCTGCCAAACCGCACCCTTCAGCAGGCTTACCAGGCCATCAGCTAAGACCAACTACGCACTCGATCAAGAGGTGCTCACTATCTGTGGGGCTTATGGAAAATAATTAGGCTATTGCTGGCGGAGATTTCACCAGAAGCCAATCTATTTGGTGTGTGCCTCGCCTGAGCACTATGTGCGGCTGCTGCCACTGGCACACGGCCGGATCCGAAACTCCTGAGACCCCCCCCCCCCCCATATATTCTTGTTATCGAGCAGCTAGCAGTGAAATGTTGCGCACAGTTATGAAGGCAATAGGCATGCTGCAGCCCCACCTCCCATTGTTCACGGCGTCAGCCGCCGCCTTCACTGACATGGCTTATCCTGTGGAGGCGGAGATGGCCCGTGAAGCCCAGCGCCACTAGCACCCAGCGCTCGCGTCTGTTACATTTCATATACTGCCCTATCCACTCTCTGTGACTCCCCGGCGTCCTGCACGTGGTGACGCTTCATCGTGGAGTTGGATCGGTACGGTACTTTTGGAACTAGTCTGGAACTAGTCTGGAACGGTGGTTCATCTCCCCAGAAACGCGCCCCAAAGGGACAAGGCAGGACACGTGCGTGACGCGCCACGCTGCTGGCGCTAACCTCCATCTTCCAAAGAACGGCAAGCGATGGAAGCCCCAGTGGCCTCTCAGACCGACAGCACATCCCGGCGGACCACCGCTAGATCCAGCGGGGGATGGGGGGCGGGGGGAACACCGTTCAGCGCCCGCCGCGTCATGCATAACAGATGGCGACGGCGGCTGGATGACAGCGACTGATGGCCTTCAGCACTCGTGATCGTATCCGCGGTGTAGCGACACATTGCCAGGGTTTCCCACATAGTTCCAGCCCTCGGGCTTTTGTGCTTGCTGTACTCGGGCGGTATAATAATCACCCCCTCCGAGAATTCCACCTCGGTGCCTTAGCCAGTGATGCACGTCACCCCAGAGCGCATCGATGACTTCACAGCGCGGAGTCTTACTTCACACGCCGGATCATCCAGTCACCGACCACACGGCATGGCCTGCTAATGCGATTACGTTGCAGCTAAAACTCTTGGTCGGTAGTTTTCGGCATCCAGTAGAATACAGTCGACCGTTATTAAATCAACCCCATCCGCCAGATCTCAACCTCCGCAAAGGCTGCAGATATGGTCATGTACAATCCGTTACCGTACAATTAATCCCCATCGTTGCACATGCAGCCCATTTTAGATTATCCCATTGGCTCTCGCACATAGCATTATAAAGATGTGTACATAACATGAATTACATAAATGCAGTATGGGCTAGCACAGCTAGATTTGTGAGTTTGACATCGGGCCATTGGGTGTGTTCAAACTCTCCGTGTTAATAATTAAAAGAACTGTTCACTCTTAATCCATGTTGTTGACAGCCTTCTGGCTGACATCAGTTCAATCCATGGATCGATCTTAATCGGCAAATTTATGCAAACTGACAACACTTTGTTGTTGCAGAGGTACGTTGCGTCAAGACTGCTGCTTTCCCGAGCCAGTTGGAACCGAACCAAACCAGTTTGATCAGCTTCGCCCATTAATCCTTAATCCACAGATTTATCAAACCAATATGACTTTTGTTGCATTACTGAAGCGTCATAACGTGACGACGTGCCAGCACCTGATTCGAAGTATATTTTGATGCATATTTACTCAGATTGATCAGAGCATCCATGGCAACACAGAAACCGAAGGCCATCACATTACATGAGCGGTCATGCGAAGGTTAAAAACGTCATCAAACACATCGGAGGACAGGATGCTAGTGGGGATGCCAAACCCTACCCACGGTTATGCCTGTCACGTTTTGTGTGTGATGCACCTCCATGCCAGTGCGGCACGGATACAGCACCAGACAACCCCGCGCGCATGCGCAGTCCGGGTGATAACGTCCGACGTCCGGCAGTTGCAGCGGCTGACGGACCAGCTGCTGGCCGGTTACCAGTCGGACCAGCCGTCCTGGAGCAGCCTGAAGCGGCAGCTGGCCAGTCGGGAGGGCGTGGAGCGACTGAGGCGGCGCGGGCCGCAGCGCGCCTTCGCCGGCTTCATGAGCGACGCCGCCGCCGGACACGGTCAGTCGGGCGTCTCGGCGCGCCCTCACAGAGCCGTGTCGTCGGTAACGAGTGATGTCTGAGTGCTATGTCCATGTTGGGGGGGGGGGGGGTAGGGGGTAGGGCGGGGGCATTGTAAGTGTTGTGTCTGGGAATCTGAATCACTCGCGCTATTATACACAATCAGCGTGCACATGCCCCGCGTGGGGATAGGTATGCTGATTACATAAAATGCTATCACTGGTTGAGACGTGCACTTACTAGCGCTGTCTGGGCGAAGGGGCCCATGCGCTCTAGTGTGCTGGTTGTATCTCAGGCATCCGTGTATTATATAAAATCCTGGTTCGCGACGACCGTGGTACATTGAGCACTCTCAGTGTTCCCCGACTTCGTGTGATACGTTTTACAAAGCCGAGTTCACATTCTGCTACTCCCTCACCACATTCCAGAGGAGAAGCGTCGTCGCGCGGTTGTTCCTTCCAGTTTGAAAGAAGTCCCAAAGCTCGCTGGCCCACACACAATTTATGAACGACAGTAATCCTCCAGCTTTCGCGAGACTTGGTTTACCACCAGCCTTTGAGCGGGCCGTTTCTATAGCCAGGACCACACGCGAGGCCCGCCTTGTCCCCTTGTCCGCCCAGACGGACGGCAGATGATTATCTGCCTTTGACATGCACAGGCAGTTGAATGAAGGCTTACGAAATCCCCCATCCCATCGGACTCAGTGGAACGTGGGAAGTATACAAATCTTCGGATAACAGTCGGATGGCCTCTACGTGTCAAACTGTTTCGAATAATCATTCAGACACTGCTACGGCCTAATGTGCGGCGACCAAAGACGCCATAGCAAGGGCGTGGAAACCCTCAAAAGTGCGATCGAACGAGAAATGTTTTTTTGGTTAGGTCTTTTCACGAAACGCCATAGGGATAAGGCTATTTTCAGACGTGCACCTAACATCCAAAGGGAAATTGTTCTCATCGTGGCATGGCGTACATGGGGTGATTCCGGCTGCCTTAGAGTATGTGGATGAGACCAGGACCAGAAAATCGAACAGATCTCTCTTGCTTATACGCCGCTCATAGTTATGCATATCAGACTTCGCATATTCGGCAAACCCTGTCAGATTTTTCGGTGACCTGTGCACCATTACATTCACTTTGATGACGTTTTTTGGATGGATCCCCATTAAGATCGATCCCGTTACCCTCGATTACACGTGGGTGGTTTGACAAAGCACCATGAGAGCTGCGGACGGTCTCACACACTCGGTGTCGGCGCATTAGCGGCGAAGATAGCTGCCGTGAAGCGAGCGAGCTCTCGAGCGATGACGTCTCTCAGATACCGGCCCGCTCAGGGCGCGTTGCACGGCAGTCGGCGTTCACGCGGCCTCAGCAGCTGCTGACGCGGCCTCGGCAGCTGCTGATGCGGCCTCGGCAGCTGCTGACGCTCCGGAGTCCACACCACAGCGCCGAGCTGCCGCCGCCGCCGCTGCCGTCGCCACCGGTTGCGGTGCGCTGCCAGTGTCGCGCGGCGTGACTGCATGGTCTGTGGTCATCGGAGCTCACAGGACTTTGCGCCATTTTCAACGTAAATGCAACTGCCGAGGTCAGGAGCGGCGTTCGGTGTGGGGGTGGCCCGGGCGCTGGTCACTGCCATGCGACACTCGGCCGATCAGTACGGTGTGACTCTGGGCTGGGTGGTAAAGTGCGACACTGCGCTGATCAGCACCGTGCGAAACTGGGCCGATCAGTGTGTTGTGACTCTGGGCTGGGTAGTATAGTGTGACACTGCACTGATCAGCACCGTGCGACACTAGGCCGTCCAGCACAGCGCAAAACTGGGCTGAGTGCTGCATTGTGGCATTGTGCAGCTATCAGTGTCTTACGGTAATGGGCCGGTCAGTACAGTGGCTATGGGCTGGACGACACAGCGCAACACTCGCCATCAATACCGTGCGACACTGAGCCAGCCAGTACAGCGCGATGGACTGAGCGATAGCGTGCGGCGTTTGCCCGGGCTAGACGTATATAAGAAATGTTGCGCAAGATGGATGTCCAGCACCATGACCTGACTCCTTCGAAGTCTAGCTAACTCGGTTTGACTGCCGGCAGTTTGACTGAGTGCAGAGTGCAGCAGAGGTGAGACGGAGGGCCGTCTGGCGGTTGCCAGGGGCGGATGCAACAATGAATTTTGAGGGGCGAACTCCGAGTCTTCCATGCTCCAAATACCGCGCCAACTGCCGGAAAACTCAGTTTTCACCGTCCGAAGGGTTGCGGCGGAGGGGAGGCATGCCCCTTTCCCTACCCCTGGATCCAACGACGCCGCTGGTCGTCCCATCTCGTCAGCAATGCGACACTCCTTCACCGCCCTCGCGGTGGTGTTGGGGTGGTGGAGAGCGAGGGGGAGGGGGAGGAGGTTCACAGGTCGCCAGGGCCATGACGGCCCACGGCCGGCGCAGCACCGCTGCGATGCAGGGAAGGTTGATGGGCGGCCGGGGTCGGGTCTCCGACCTTGGACCGCTCGCAGTCGGGCCGGCCGAATCACCCGGCTGGCCCGGCGCCGCTTCGTCTGGGCAGTGCCAGGCACGCCGGTGACGAATGACGAAGGCACCCCAGCCGATCGGGCGCGCAGCCAGGCAGCACATCCCGGTGATGAGCCTTAGGCCAGCGCTCTATTATTCTATGAGGAGTGGCGTTCGGCGGATGATACCTTCTATTAGTTAGGCATGGCTGTTCCCAAAGTGACAATACGTATGAATGTGGCAAGAAACAGGGCGCATCAGAAATCTTGAACCAGGCAGAAACGCAAAAACTTTTAAAACAAAGCTACGTGGGAGGAAAATAACTGCTATGCTTTTTGTCCTTTGGCAATGTGTTTCCAAGGTGCTGGCAGTGCTGCACACCTTTTCATATGGTGGCACTGGCCCGTACTTAGTTCTGGACCACCCTTTGATTTTTAGACAAAGCATATTTATTGCAAACATAGACAGTGAAGAATGAAGGATCAACAGGGGGCGTAAGCGTTCACACATGGGAGAACGCTATGGCACGTGATTTACTAAACTTCGATGCAGGTTTTACATTTCCAACAAAGTTTTTGCCCTTAAAAATGTTAACGGTTCACAAAAGACTAACTGGACCCATAATTTTGTCGCCATTGCGAAAGCACGATCACATTTCTTCCGATACGACAAATGCTCTCACGTCGCCACCTCCCGCGTTCCGCCGGCCACCCGGACATACACGGCCGCAGTTGCCACCGCCACGCCTTCTCCAGCGGCGATGACCGATGGTTGAGATTACCATGTCCCCGTTAGATGGAGCCACGCCTAGCCGCCCTCGCCACGACGCACGCCGTCTGCAGAGGTGAGCTGCCGCCGCCGTGAGCGGCGCGGCGGCCAGATTAAGCCGGTTGCGAGCCAGAGAGCAGATCAAGCCTGCCTTTGACGTGACGTGCGCCGGCGGCCGGCGCGTGGCTCCCTGGGAAGCCACGCGCGGCCCGTGACCGGCATAAAGAGGTCACGCGCAGTGCGTGCATGGCGCAACACTCGGCGGCCGAGCGATGGTGAGGAATGAAGGGTCGCGCTGGCGGGACGTGCAGACCGCTGTGGAACGCATCAGCCCGCTGCACGGCGCGCTGCGGCCTGCCAGCTGGAATGCCATCAATTGACAGTGCCGCGATTGTGCGTCCGGCGCCAAGAGTCTCGAGGCCGCACCCTAGCGAACACGCACGCCGTCTGCCACTTCACTCCGGCGACTTCGCTGTGGTCTTAAAGCGCTCCTGTTTGTCACCGGTATCCATTTCGCACAACAGTTCGGGCGATGAAATCATCTTGAAGTTAAAAGCCTATCCCCAGGTTGTCGTTCTCAAGTGCTCTCACCAGAGATGTATCATTCTCAAAAGCATCGGACAGTCAACAAGGGGAGGGGCCGTCATGGCCAGGTACGTGGTGCGATAGGGGTTAATACAGCGCCAGGGCTCAAGACCAATGCAGTGTTATGTGTACGCTATACAGACATGTGTTGGCAGGAAAGAAAGCACCATAATTGATCGTCCAATTAAGATTGCTGTAACCTTGATGTCTCCATATTAGCCGCAAAAAACCCAGCGACAAAAACGCCGCCACTCTCACCACGGCTCTTGTAAAAAGGTGGCCGAGCAGAATGTTTGTGCGGTTGTGCTGTACCGCTTGTGCACATCAGCTCGCTTTCTTCGACGCGCCGCTTCATCCTGGACAAGTGCGCCGCTCGTCTCTCAGTCGGGCGTGCTGCGGCCGTCAGCCATGAGCCGGCCCGCTTGCCGCCGGACTCTGGAGGGAGGGCACCAGTGCCTTCCCTGACCACGCAGAGGGGTTCCTGCGCGAGGCAGGTGGGTCTCGGTGGCGGACTGCGACGACGGTCGCAGTGCTGCCCCGTAATCTGGTTGGTTCTTTCTTGGTTGCATGGGGCTGAAATGACAATTACTGCCGTGGAAATGCGTCTAGTCCAGACCAAATTATGAAAAAAACGCTTGTAGATTTTCTGAACGACAGCATGTCGAGGAAATTTCGCAACATGGTGTTAATTGTAGTAGACCCTGGATACTAGAAAATGTAAATTCAAAAAAAAATCACCATTTACCTCATAACTGACCTAAGTCGTTTGATTTTAAGTACCAATCAATAAATGAGAAAAACATGTGCAGGAGGGGAAATTGTCTATGTGAAGTGTTGACAGCACATCCGCGCACGCGCGACGCCGGTCGAAGCGGCTCGACAAGAGTTGGCGTCCATCAATAAACAAGAGGTTCAGCCCACCACTTCCGCATACCGACCTCCCTTCTTCGCTGCAGCTCTCGGCAACGTAATTATGCCACGAACGAACGGCGCCACGAACCTTGTTGCCAGTCTTGCGACAGTTCGATTCTGTTTATACAGGGGGAGCTGAAAGTTTCTCGGTTGCGACAACGACACCGGCCTACTGTTCTTTTCCGTGAGTGAAACGTGAAACGCCCACTGAACGTTTATTCGAATAAGGTGGAC